CCCTAAACTGCAAAAAAAAAAATGCTTCAGGGGTGCTGGATGAATGGCTGACCCTGTGCTGACCCCAAAATTTCACTCTGACCTCTGTTTGTGTGTATGCCTTAAAAAAGGAGAGAAAATGGGAAAGAACCCATTTAAAATGTACCTGTACTTGTACAAAAGGCAAAAAGCGATACCAAAAGTATCTCTGGGACTCAGCAGCTCAGCAACCTGTGAGTAACATGTCAGGGCAGGACTCTCTGTCACAGCAGTTTCTATTGAGCAATGATTGTGTCTCAACCTTGGTTCCTTTCCCACCTTCTACTCCATGACATAAGCCCTCTACAGTATAGCTGAGGTTTAACTGAGGTTTAACCCTTAATCATTAAGACACAGGACCGGAATCCGGTGGATGCAACGTAATCGCAGCCCAGCTCTGACACGCCAGGATGAGATCCGGGGAGCAGGAAGCAACCACTAAGAGATCTAGTTGGGCAACCTGATATCTCACTCAACGTTCAACCATTGTTGCTATGACACCCAAGAATATCCATTAAGATCAGTACAGGTTGAACCCCTGACCGGCTATGACGTGGCTATAGGAAGATCTTACCGCCTCTCGGATGCACAGCTTCTTCAACTCAAGCAGACACAGCTCCAAGCGGTCCTGCAGGGACTGCTGCTTCAGCTTCACGGCCCGTGTGTGTGTGGTCACATCCTTCATGGGGGGTGTCGGGCTATCAGGGACTAGAGAGCAAGACAAGAAATGGCTCTAGATAGGTAAAGGTGTGTCATATACAACATGCTCTTTTGGGACAGCCTAGGGTGGGTTTTAAACATCATTTTAGGCATATGGAGCCATCTGTGGAGTCTTGTGTCATCCTCAATACCAGGGATTACCTCCAGGGTCCTAAATGTGACCCACTAATGATGTTAAAGCAGGGTCATGAGAGACTGGGAAAGGGCCATGAATAAAAGTGTTCTGAACCAGAAATGTTGCCCATTTTATTTTTTTCACCATTGGCAAGGCCAGTCATTCATCTCTTTTGGTGGACATGCATATCTATGTGACAAGAAAGTTCAAATGTTTGTGAACTCCTGCCAGTGCTGTCATCATGAAACTCAAGCCCCCTGGCCAGGAGCGATATGCTAAACGTCACCGAGAGGCAGCCGGGAGGGGAGGTGTCCCGTAACCAGAAATGTCGCGGAATAAAAACACTTGGGTTCAACTCCGGAACTAGTTATACCTGCAGGCAAATTGCCAGTGTACTAAATATTTCTGAAGTAACCTGTAGCATCATTTCGGCCATTAGAGGTGTGTCTGGGGACAAAGGGGCTGGTTGTTAGACAGGTAAATGAAAAAAGCCCTGGTTGTCTGGGTCAACCGTGACAATGACAAGCTGTCAGGAGAGAATGACATTACACTTAAGCCTACCAACACTGGCAAGAAAGGATCAGGTGACATTTGTAATAGTTGTTTTGGTGTTAACAACAACAAAACATGTGCGGTATTAGCCTAACTCCAAATAGCATAGAGATCGGGGTAAGAGTAAAATCCTTAACCAGTTGTACTTGTGTGTGCACATAAATTTCACTGGTGATTATTTGGACAGGAATCTAGGCCTTACTGGAATGCAGAATAATCCCGCTGTCTGCATCGCTGAATTCTTCTCTGCTGCCCATGTCAGCGATTAAGGAGTTATTCCACAAGTCTGCAACAGTTGTGCTCATATGGGAGGATGGGGGGGGCGATCATCCGTCAGGATAACCTATGAACAGAAGCAGTTATCACTCATCTGATGCATTCCCCTTACTTTGCGGTCACCCTTGCGAAGCTTAGGCATTAAAGTTTACATCCAGAATGGCCGAAACGGGGGCATTGGCTGAGGCCTACTGATGCAGAACAAGCAAGCTCTGTCGCTCACCAAAAACAAGGAGCAAAACATGTCAACAATAGCTCACATAGCCCAGTCTGCCTCACCAAGTCACCCAACCCCTCCCTGCTCTGAGACAACCAGTCTATTCACTCACATTAGCCCCACTCTCCACTGCAGCCTGTTTACTCATTTATCACATACTTTCATCCAATGCAACATATAACTGAGAAAGTAGGGTCAGACAGTCACTGGAACAATTGGGGTTAAGGGCCTTGCTCAAGGGCTCAATGGTTACATTGCTCTGCCAACCCTGGGATTAGAATCAGTGACCTTTCAATCAAAGCCAGTGTCCTAACCCGCTGGGTGATACACCATGCCCAGCCTACTATATTCACCTTAGCTGTCTCAATACTGAAGAAATAGGAGCACATCAGAAAAGTTCGGTCCATGGCTCATAGTTGGACTAAAATGATTAATGAAACTGTTAACAACAATAATCCAGCAGAAGTAACTCTATTGTGATATTCAGTATCAGCTGCATCAACGGAAATAACTGGAAGTGGGAAAAGTACAATAAGGACATGTAACATTAAATTCAACCTCAGTGACAAATGCACTCTTCCTGATGGATATATTCATATGTGGCCAAGCAAAAACCACTGCGGAGAACCGGAGAAAAACATAAAGCAAACTCAAAACAACAATTGCGAATTAAAGTCCTATACAGAGAAATTGTTAAACCCAGTTGAGTTCCAGGTGAACTAAACTCCCACCAACTGTAAGGCAAACCAAATTACTGCAATATCACTGAGACATGAAGCAAGAATATTTTTTGTTTCCATTTTGAAGGAGCCATTCGTTTGCTCAGGTTAGAATACTTTTCATTCTTTGCTAATGCAGTCTGTGCAGGTCCAACACCTCATTCACAGACATTATGGAAATGGGAGAAACAAATACTCCTAGTATAATTTGTTTCCTGCTTGGAATCTATTGCAATAAACACAATGTAACGCAATATCTGATACAACTGAAATAAATATAATACAATTTTTATGTATCAAACCTACATTTCCACACAAGCTGGTTGGTGACCAATTAGTCACATATTAACAAATCCAGGCTCAAACTGCAAACAACTCTATCATGGGGAGTGTGAGCTTCCTGAATCAATCACATTTAACCACCTGTATAATTAAAGTGGGTTTAACTGAAACCTTATTCCTCATCCCGAAGGATATGACCCAGCAGTTATTCATAACACCAATTTTATACCATCATCCAGACAAACACAATCATCATCACCGTCGTCATAATCACATGCACACAGCGGTGAGGCATTCTGACACAAAGCAATCCCTACAGGCTATCCCCGCGGTCTGCAACGTTTCCTATTTATCAGAGTACACTCACTATGCTTTCAGCCCCACCTGGGAAGGTCCATAAAAGTAATCTTTGCCCGTGAACCGGTCCACTAGTACGGCAGAAAGCGAAATTGTGATGCAATACTTAGTTTTGGGTGTGTTTGCCAGGGCAACTTTAATTGCACCAAAACTTAAACATAGCCCATATATGATTATAGCTGTAATAGTTACTCAGGTTTCTGTTTACCGAGTCTCTTCTGATTACGGCAAACACTCGTAAGTGCTTACCATACAATGAATTTCACTGTGCTGACTTTAAACACTTGACTGAATGTGCAATACTAATCAAATAAGACTTGAAAGTCGATTAGGAGACTGTTTTCTCCATAATAATAATAATAATGGGTGGCTGATTAACCAGATCTAGGTAAAGCAACCCTGCAAGAACCTTCAATCATAGCCCGAACACAGTAGGGTGCCCGGGACTCTGATACCCCCCACAAAATACCACCATTCTCGTCGGGGATTGAAGCAGTTGAATGCCAAAATGCTTCGCTTGATTCATCTAATTGTCCTCTGCAGTTTCAGCGTCTTGGGCTTTTTAGTGCGTTAATATTTTATTAAAATGTTAAGAACGATTAATAGACTTAAAAGTACCGCGGAAACATAATTTAGAAATCTTTCCCATTATTCATGGTTTGAATCGCGGAAAAGTAATTAAAAATAAATATTTAGCTTACTATTATTCGTTGCTTCAAATACTAATAAATCAAAGGGAAACATTTTAAATAAACTCACTTACATGTAACTGTGTTGCTTCGGTATTATTACACGGCACCCCAAAAACCTGCTCCTTCCCCCGACCGAAGCGTACTGTGGACTGGCGCCCAGTGCAGGGAGGAGCGACTGCGTTTACCCAGGGAGGGGGACAGGCGAGGCTGCGGTGACTCCTTCAAGGTGGCGGGACGATACAATAGACTTCCCATTTTAATTCAGAATTTCTTTCCAGATTAAAAAAACAAACAAAGATGATTGATGGGAATATAAATTACGAAAACGAAAAACTGTGACGAAGCTAAAAACAATAGCTAAATCGTAAAAAATGTGTTTTTTAAATTAATTATTTTAAAGTTTATTATTGATCTTCATCCATTATTTTAGACCTAAACTTAAAAATTTGTATTGCATATGTCATGGGAAAAGTAGGTTTTTAAATGTTTTATTTGTGGTAAGATGTGTTATAATCAACATTATTTATGTTATATATCTAACACTTAATTTCAGATGCAGGGCACGTACAGTTCAGTTGCCTCACCTGCATACGCTTTAGAAAGCTGCAAAGTTGCTTAGCAATGTTCAATTGGTGACGTGAGACCAGCGTTATATTTAAACAACCTAATTTATTCCAAGTATTGTTGTCCTCTATTTTGAAGTTTTGAGGGCGCGGCTGCCAACAGCACGTCACTTCACGAGCCTGTCGGTCTTACAGTACTTTGCTGCGCTTGATCTACGACGTATACATTGTGTAGCGTAACAAAATTGTCTGGTTTTCCGCTTTAGTTTTACATTGGTAGGGTACACTGTATTCCTGTTCACTGAGGATATCTACTGAGCAAATCTAGCCTTTCGTTTATGAGCATCAACTATTGGTAGACTATGATTAAGAATTATATACCATACAGCTGGGATGCTTCAAAGGAGTCAAATGTTGATCTCTTTTCAATGATTTAAAACTCCCTTTCGCCAAGCATCAATGGTGATTCTTCATTGTTAGTCACAGCCACGATCAGGTAATCTCATCAAGTATTTTAAGACTGTGTACCTTTCTTTTATTTGATGACCCGAACATATTTTCAGTCAGATATTAATCTAATGCTTGTCTCTGTTGTTGTGGAAAGATTTTTTACTTGCTGACATAAGTGGACCGGTTTGGATTGATCGGTGAGCCATATTTAATAAGTTTCTTTTTTTTTCCCCCAGATGTGATCAGAGCAAGCAAAAGTCAGTGGTCATTTATTTTTGGGAATCAACCAACCCTTCCCCTAAAGCCCCGGCTGAATACTCTCCGTAGAGCAGCAAATGGGATGTAAGGCCCTGCTCCAGGCCAAGGAGCTGCTAGAGCAGGGAGCCCCAGAATGGGTCAAATGCTGGTGGGGTGTCTCCATAAACCCCAGGGCTCACACTTACCAGGAATTCATGAAGCCACAGAGGGTCCTCTGAGGCAGCAGGGTGACCCGCGTGGGGGGTCTCCAGTTCACAGTGCCTCCTGGGTCACTCCAGCTAACCCTCTAGTAAACGTAGGTGTTAAACACCACAACACAACAGAAAACCAGCCAGTTGCCTTTGTCCCTTCCAGTAACTAAACTGGACATGTCACTACCTGTATGGTTTACAATAAACAAAACATAATAATGATATTATCTTCAGTCATAGAAATATTGGTTCTATACTAGCAATAGTAACTGCCTCTTAAACAATAATACAATTAGTCCACCAGAAGAGGGCGCCTAACACATAGGCCATACAAAATGAGGCTGTATAAACCAAGGGATTTATGATGAGATAAAATGCGCAAAAGCTTCAAGCCCCACAGTTCCTGCTTCATTCTAATTTTCTATAGCAGGCTACAGTTTTGCCTCAGCCCTGTTCCTGGGTGACAGGGGTGAGGATGTAAGCATGACCATGAGAAACCACATAATGTTGTTTCAGGCACCATCCGAGCGGCTCCCCCATTCAGCCAGGCAGCTCATGTGCAGTGGCCCAACACAAAAGAGCGGAGATCCTTTCTGCACCGAGTCAACACTAACTCAGAAAGCAGCAAAAACACAGTGGGGACAGACACCCCCTGGCCCAGTCTGCCCCATGGACCTTCTGATCAGGACAGTCCTGATCTTGCTTGTGAAGGCCACGTGGACAGATGAAGCCTTTGTATAGACATTAAACCTGAATGGGGGGGGGGGGGGGTGCACGAGAAATCAGTAAAAATCTTCAGTCCGAAATCTGATCAATATTACATTAATTTAGCAGTGTGTGACTGAGCGGGTTCAGAGGGACCAAGGCCCCTAACCCCCACCTGCTCTGGGGACTGTATGACATTGCTTCATCAATTGTACATTTCTTTTGATAAAAGCTTAAAACTAAGCTAGTGATTTTATCAGCATCCAGCTCAAGTTAGTATAGTACAGCTTAGCCTATAAATAATTCAGGTAGCAGTAATTTCAAGGTTCATGGAAAATATTGAAAATATATGAAAATAAAATGTGTTAGGAATCTGTGCTCCCTGCAATAATCTGATTGCCACAAGTTGCAAATACAAAATGTAAACTAGACAATTTGTCATGTTTTTTCCTAACTGGCAAAAGATGCAAAGCATGTTGGGTATCACAGTCCTCCCCCACCTCACTTCTGTCCGACTCATTACCCAAAGGATTCCCGGTTAAATTGTAACTCCCAGCTAGCTTTTAGCTTTCCCCGCTGCTATGCTCCCTTCCACCATTCTCTTAAACCCTAAGCGACATGTTGCCTCCTCATTCCTGTCATCACCTAACCCACAGAGCCTCACTCATCCATCCCCAGTTGTTATTTAGCTCTTTTCCCAGAATACTCAGCTGTGCTCCTTAACATGATATGTATTTATCAGATGCTTTTAAAGCAACATTCATTTTTCAGAAAACAGGGTCCCTGGAGCTGCTGGGGTTAAACACCTTACTCTAGGGCTCAACAGTAAATTCATTCAGCCAAGCAGGAGACCTGAACCCACGCCCTTCCCTCATAGGCATAGTGTCCTAACCTGCTGAGCCACTGCAGTTTCCCATACTAGCTGTTATTATTTAATTCACCTTGATTAAGATGTTGGATAATGTAATATTAGATACAAATGCATGTGTCATTTAGGCAAAGTCATGAGTTTCATTTACTCAACAGCTTATTCAGGGCTGAAATGAAGCATAATGACCTCAGTAGGTCATGGGCAAATCCCAGGAGAACAATGTTTTACATTTTTGTCTCCGCCTAACTCGTAATTGCCCCAAATTATTCCTAATTTAGAACTGGGTATTTAGAAGACACTTCCTCTACCCTCTTCCAGGAGTATGGACATGTAAGCCTTGACCACGAAACAAAGATATGATAGAAACCCCTCAATGAACCAAAATGAAAAGAAGTTCAGGCAGTGAGTCTCTGGCAATGAGTCGATCAGCCTCTACACTGTCTCCAATCTATACCCCACCCCCACACTTGGAATTGCATATCCCCTTCAAGAATCTCTCCTATCAGATCCACCAAAGAGGGCCAAACATCTTAGTAAGAAGTACATGACACAAGGCCTTTCACTGGGTCAGCATTTAACATTCCAAGAAAAGGCTGATAGGCGGGTTCAAAGCGAACTGCTTTAAGGAGTAGGTCTGATTTCAGAGTCTGGTAAGCAGCCAAAAATCGTTTGGTCACACAGATCCACATACACACACATCAAACGGCAGCAGTGAGATCATTTGTTAAAAAAAAAAAATCTGTGAAAAAAACCTATAGAAAATTCCTGTTAACCATCATTGCCTCACTACATCGTCTACATTCAGTAAATTCATCAAAACAAGATAAAGCATAGAAAGAAAAATGAGGCCATGCAAAATTACAATAAAAACCTAAAGCACAAAGTAATTGTAATTGATATGAAAGATGTTTAGTGTAAGAGTAAATTATGTTACTAAATATATCCTCATCATTTCATTCTCATTAGTGTAACACATAGATAATGTCCTTAATATCTCCCCTTTTTGATCTGTGAAAATAACAGTAGATCACAGCCAGAAGACAGTCTGGTGTTGGCTGTTCCTGTTTAGTCTAGATGGCTGCATAAAAATAAGTCATATGATGGCCAATTACATCAATGCGGGAGCCAAGAAAAATGATGTCATCTTGGTAAAAGACATTTAGCTAAATTACTACTGCAGATGGGTTATAGGATGGAAGGAGAATGAAGAGGCAAAGTATCACTTAGAGTTGAAGAGAATAGATAGTGGAATGAAACAGCAATGGTGGGAAGCTAAAAGCTAGCTAAGAGCTGCAATTCAAGCAGGAATCCTTTTAGCAATATAAGAGTGATACAGAAGTGAGGCAGGGAGGACTGTGATACCCAGCATGCTTTGCATCTGCCATCAGGTAGGATCAGAATAAAGCGAATTATCCAATTATAATTCTGCAGTTGCAAATTTTGGCAGGGAGCACAAATTACTAACAGATTTTCTTAGAAAAAAATATTTTTCCCATGGACCTTGAAATTACTGCTAACTGAATTATTTATAGGAAAAACTAGACCTGGGTTCCCCAATTCCAGTCCTGGAGGGCCAGAATCCAACACAATTTGCAGGTTTCACTGTTCAAACACACTTAAAAAATTAGCTGAATAAGATCTGAGCAGGGGAACTGTGTTGGAGTCTGGCCCTCCAGCAGCAGAACTGGGGAACCCTGAGCTGGCGTTTGTCACTTTTCCCCATCTGATCTATTTATTTAAACACAAACTACTAACAATTTTCAACATCAGACACTTTTTATTCTTGAATGCACTTCACACAGCTTTATCCCACTTGGAACAACCAAAGACACATGCGACAACCTAGTTCTGCCTTTAACACCGTTATCTTTTGGTCAACAAACTGAGCATCTTAGACCTGGACACTTCTCTCTGCTCCTGGGTGGTGGATTTTCCCACAAACAGACCACAGAGTCTCAGGATTGGAATGCACACGTCATCCACTCTAATCCACAAACACAGGTTCCCCACAGGGCTATGCTGAGCCCAATGCCCTTTACCCTTCCCACTCACGACTATACCCCCACACACCCATCAAAAGCCATTGTGAAGTTTTCTGATGACACAACATCTGATGATGATGAGGTGGCCTACAGGATGGAAGTCACACACCTGCGTGAGTGGAACTGTGACTTGACTATAAACGCCAAC